TTATAGATATTATTATTATTATATTCTTCACGGGTAATTATTGATATTGGCAGATATTTCAGTTATTGTTTTTCTTTGCAGCTAACAAGGCTGGTTGCCAGCTGGGCAGCTCTCTCACCCCATCGTGCAGGAGTAAGGCAGTGAGGGAAAATGGGCAAGGTAGCAAAATTAACTAAATCTAATTAATGCACAGTGATTAAGCACCAGAAAGCAGCCCCTGACCCCCTGCCCTTCCTGCCCCATGGCATCTGGAGCCCAGCCCTCCTGGGGAAGTGAGCCCCCTTTGGAGACCCCAGCCCTGTTTGGGGACCCCAGCCCTCTCTGGGGACCCCCTCCGTCCTGAGGACTCAGCCGTCCCAGGGACCTCAGCCATCCTGGATACCCCAGCCCTCTTGGGGACCTTGAATCCCTCCCAGGGACTCCACCTCTCCTGGAGACACCAGCCCTCTTTGGGGACCACATAGCCCTCCCGGAGACCCCACAGCCCTGCCAGGGAAGGCTGATACTGGGGATACTCACAACCCTACTGCCGTAGCTGCCACCTCCATTTTGGATTTCCACCTGCAAGAGAAAGCTGTCCATGTGTGGGGGCTCAGCTGTTTCCCACCGCTGTCCCCACTGCCCATGGGCCAGCCCCAGGGGGAATTGGGTCAGGATGCAAAAGCAGGGCTGGCTGTGGGTGCAGGAGCTGTCCCACCGTGGCTGTAACGCCCAGCTCTGTGCTCACCAGTTGCATGTAGAAGTCCATCAAGCCCAGGAGATAGAGGGCAAAGTGGATGCAGTTGTTTTTGCCCAAGTGATACTTGGCTTTGCTGTTCATCGCCTCCCTGACTTTACTATGGAAGTCATTGAGATTGATCCCGCCTTTTTTCTGGTAAATCTGGCATTTCTTCCTCTCCTTTTTCATGGCTTTGAAGCCTTCCTTGCTGATCCGACCACTGTTGCTCAAAATGTTCACAACTGGAAAACCGAGAGCTGCCTATCGCTCTGGCCCAGCCACCACACTGCCAGCCGCCTTTTGGCAACAACCACATCCCAGACATGAGCAGGGGTTTAGGTGCTTAGTCTGGAAGTGTATGACCTCTCCATCCCCGCAGTAGACGGCTGTGTGTTTGAAGCTGCTGCTGCTGAGGCCAGAGCTGGTGTCCATGGGGAGGAGCAAGATGTCCCTGGGCTGCAACGTGCTCTCTGACACCACCTTGAAGACCTCCCCATGCCCAGGCACACTCTTGTGGAACAGAAACTTGAATGCCTCATACTCCCTCTGCCAACCACACCAGGGAGGGAAGGTGAGGAGGCAGCAGAACCAGCCCCATCACCCCCGAACACCCCCCAACTCCCCACGCTGACAGCGGAGGAACAGAAACGGGGCATAAGTGCTGTGCTCCTGCTGTCCTGCCCATGCATGGAGGGCAGGGTCCCACCCTGCCATCATGCCCTGCCTGCGATGGCTCCTGCCAGGTGCAAGGGCTTGGCTTGGGTAAAAGTCACCTGTCCTTCCCAACTTCTTCAAGCTGGATACATCCCAGGACAAGCCCCATTCATCATCCCCCTCCCTGTCCCAGTGCGACGGTGGTGCGAGCAGCTGCCTGCAATGGGGTGCAGAGATGGGAGAATCCTTACCAGGCTACTGCTGCTACTTGACATTGTTTTCTCTGGGCTGGAGCTGGTGATGGAGCTGGGCTCTCACACCTCCACCAAGGGCTGTGGGAAATGCAGCTGGGATGGAGGGGTTGGCAGGCACTGGGGCCAAACCTGACCTCACATCCTTCCTGATACACATGAGAGGTGGAGAAAGGCTGAAAGCAAAAGCAAAAAGCAGTACAAGCCCCATATGTGTTTTTCCACTTCTTAAAACTGGGCTTAATTTGCTAATTCCACCTTAAATGTTAAGTTTGGGAATGGACGGAGGTGATGTGGGAGATTCTGGAAATGCTCTTGAGTCAGAGGACCTGAAGGGTGTCTCCAAAAGTGTGTGTCATGCAGCGACCCCCCCACCCACCTCCAAGAGACCTTCCTCCAGCCCCAGCCTGATCAGGCACCCAGCTTCTTGGTTTTGCTCCCTTCCCCTTAGAAGCCATGGGGACATTTCCTCCTCGCTGGGGAATCAAACTTCCCCTCTGGTGGGAGCGAAGCCTCCCAGAAACTCTCCTGTGACTGTGGGAACCGCAAGAGTCCCCAAAAGAAAGCTCAGAGAGAGAGACCCGAAGCAGCTCTAAATAATCCCAGTGGAGGAATATTTTCACAGGATCACAGAATGGTTGAGGTTGAAGACACCTCTGGAGGTCATCTGGTCCAGCCTCACTCAACCTATTGCTCCTTGCCCCGGACCATGTCCAGGTGACTTGAATACCTCCAAGGATGGAGGCTCCAGAACATCCATGGGTGACCTGTGCCCAGGGGTCAGTCACCCTCACAGTGAAAAAGCTCTTTCCTGATGTTCAGAGGGAACCTCCTGTGTTTCCATTCATGCCCATTGCCTCTGGTCCTGGCACTGGGTGCCACCAAGAAGAGCCTGGCTCTGTCTTCTTTACACCCCCCATCAGGTGTTGATACACACTGGTAAGATCCCCCTGAAGCTTTTCTTCTCCAGGTTGAACAGCCCCAGCCCTCTCAGCTTCTCTTCATACAAGAGATGCTCCAGACCCTTGGTGGCCCTTCATTGGTCTCTCTCCAGTATGTCCATGTCTCTCTTGTATTGGGGAGCCCAGCACAGGATGCAGTGCTCCAGGGGTGTCCTCACCAGTGCTGAGCAGAGGGCAAGGATCACTGCCGTTGACTTGCTGGCAATGTTCCTCCTAATGCAGCCCAGGATGCTGTTGGCCTTTGCTGTGCCCCAAAGGCACATTGCTGGCTCATGGTCAACTTGGTGTCCCGCAGGACCCCCAGGGCCTTTTCTGCCAAGCTGCTTTCCAGCTGGTCACCCCTTAGCATGTCCTGGTGCCTGGGCTTGTTCCTCCCCAGGGGCAGGACTTTGCACCTTCCCCTTGTTGAACCTTCATAAGATTTCTGTTGGCCCACTTCTCCAGCCTGTCCAGGTCCCTCTGGGTGCCAGCACGACCCTCTGGCCCATCAGCCACCCCTCCCAGTCTGGCATCAGCAGCAAACTCGAGGGTATGCTCTGCCCTGTCAACCGGACCAGTAATGAAGATGTTGACTGGGACTGGAGCCGGTGTTGACCCCTGGGGTACACCACCAGTGACTGGCCTCCAACCAGATGTGTTCCAGCCATTTGGCCAGTTTTCAACCCAGCAGCCAGGGAATATTTATTTTGATGCTCAAAATCAAACGGTGACAACAAAAGAGGCATCTGTTTGTCTCAGGAGGCCATGGGGAGCAAAGAGCGGCCGCAGCCTTCAAGATGTGCCAAGGTGGGACAGACATCGCTTGCTGGCAGCTTCTGGGAAAAGGAAAACAAAG